CTCGCATAAGAAAAATTGCTGTGACCAGAATTTTGGCGAGAGTCTTTGCATATTTACCTTCTTTCATTTCCCAGATTCTGGACTTTATCTATCGACCGGGGTTGATTTTTATTTTGTTCTATTTTGAATTGCGTGACACTGAAAACCAGCAAGTTGATGTCAATCATCATTCACTACCCAGAGTGTCAAGGATTTGCTCATAGAGCACTTTGATTTGCTCAGTGATCTATCAGGCATATGTCACGGGACTTCCTTGTGGCCTCCGTCACGTGCTTTTACCGTCCGGTAAACTCCTGGGAATGAAACGCCTGGTTGATTTTGTTCACAACATGGCGACGTTCGCTGCCGTCTTTTCCTTGTTTGTTATTGCAGTTGTTTCTCTGCTAGGTTTGATATTCTCGGCAATTTCACTTTACTTAGCCTACCTCCACAGGAAGTACAGTCATCTACCCGGTCCAAAGAGAGACAGCTTTTTCTTAGGTAACATCCCTCACATTTTGCGTGAAAGGGAGCGAGGAAAGATTATCCACGAGATAATGCACGACATGCACCGTATTTACGGTCCTGTAGTCCTAATGTGGGCGTACCATAGGCCGTTCATCTTTGTATCTGATCCTGAACTCGTACGAAAGTGTTTGATCACTCTTAATTTGCCTAAAAATCTTGCCGTCTACGATCACCTGGGCTATCCGTTTGGACAACGCATGGCAGGGCGCGGTGTGTTGAACGAGGTCGACCACGAAGTTTGGCAGAGGCGAAGAGCACTCCTTAATCCGGCATTTCATCGCCGCTACTTAATGAACCTGATGCCTGCGTTTAACGGCAGCTGTGACTTGTTCCTGGCCAAGTTGGATAAAATGGCTGATGGCAAAACCGTTGTTGATATGGCCCAAGAGTTTGCTAGAGTTACACTTGATGTTATTGGAAAGGTACTGTAGGCTTAACTTTAAGGATGCAGAATCACTGTTAGAACCCCAAATAAATTTATTTCAGCTCTTGTCTGGCACACGGTCTACCTCTCCATTCCTAAGACCCAATAATTATGATAAATTTTCGGGCAACCCTAAAATACAGAATCCACAATCTGGAACTGGAATTCGGAATATGGTCATCCGATTTTGTTAGTCACTTGTACATGTATGATTACAGACAAATTGGACTCCACTCAGTTCAATTACCATTATAAATCGTATCATTCTATAACTAGAAATTTCAATGTGAAAGTGAGTGCTGCAACTGGGGAAAGTGGCCATTGTTATTGAGGAGAGGTATATGCAGAAAATTAGGCTAGTTCAAGAGTCCCAAGGTACTCCCTTAAGTTATTAGGCCTACTCTGCCTCTCAGTGTTAAGTGCATGGGCGAAATCTTTCGGCCATCTTTCGAGTTTGACTGTAAAGAAGTCAGTTTTGCTCACATTTTTTCTGTAGGCCAGGTTACCTAGCCTGTCGAAAGATGGCATGTTGAAGATACATGAAGTCATTATTCACATAACACTGAAAGCGGGTGTAAAAAGGTGGGAGGGGACAATTGAAGGTAACTTTTGATTTGTGTACTAACATTTTGGTATGTCGTCTTTGCAAAGAGCACCGAGCCTGTGTGTACATGGTCCAGTACACAATGTACCTAGGTGTGTTTTTGGAAGATTTCTATGACTATCGTGCCATTTTTCAAATGGAGTTAGTCCCCAAGTTGAAGACAAGAGTAAGCCATGTGAAGAGTGTGAGACAATATGAACCAGCAACATCAGTATTAGGAAACAATGACCAATTTAATTCATTTATAATGGCATTTTATGCATTTAACTTTAACTGCAATTTTAACTTCAAACAATTCTCAGGTATTGACGGTACATGGTAAAAGTGAATTTAAGAAGCCAGGATAGAGGTCTCATATCATGATTTACATTAATTTTGTCCATCCCTGATGGGTTTTTCAAAATAAATACTGTACGTTGCGACAACAGCCAACAAACATTTTGAAACAATGGTCACAAACTTTGCATGTTTGAAAAGCATTTAGATTGAGAAGTTGAACACTTTGCAGCAACAAACATTTTGATAATGGTTGAACATTTTGCCAGAATATTGCAAACAAAATTTCCACTCTAAGGTCGAATGTTGTACCTGAGTGAGAAACAGACTTAAACTCAATAGTTGAATTTTTTGCCTCAAGTTTTACCTCAATGGGCAAGAAACTTTTGGCTCGACGGGTGACAGACAGTTTGGCTTAACTGTTGAAGATTTAGCCTCAACAGGACAGGTAGTACGTTCAAGTAATAAACCTCGTTCTTTCCCATGATGGACTATAGTGAACTCACTTTAACAACAGATCTGTCTCTCAATTCACTTATTCCTTCACCTTGTTGTCCTTGAGATTCGTTACTTTACTGATAATGACTTTGATGAATACGTTCTCGGGCATTGAGAAACATGTAGGCAATCAAAATATCTTTCATATCTTGTAGTGTGGAATGCACAGGACAAAGCGTTGATTGTGACGTCACAAATTAAAAAGCCAAATTGCGTATGCCCTGGATCTGACATCTGAAAAAATTGAGAATTTTCACCTCTTAAATATATTGTGTAACACCATTGACCCTCTCAAATACAGTAGTCTCTAGTGTGCTGCCTCGCTAGGGCTTACTAGCAACTAAATTGTGAATGGTCTTCTGCACACCTTTTTGTTACGTAATTGGTGCACCATCTCATGGGTTTCCAATTACAGGTTTCCGATTACAGGTATCCAACTGTACAATAATAACTATTATCATTCAATGCATTTTTTCTTTCTTTTCATTGGCAAAGATTCCTCCACATGACCTGCTAGTAACTGCCTGCAAATAATGGTCGCCTCATGCCTATTACTGTCTAAATGACTTAATGTGAATTGCTGCAAATAATATTCTGCTCATGAATGTGCAACTGAAACCATGCTCTTGGATGGAAAATGGCCGATCGCTTCACTGAGCTGTAAGAGAGTGATTTAAGGTCATTCCGCTGAAACAGAACCTGCACTGAGATTTTTGTGAAACTTTGCCTATCGATTGTTTATATTATAGGAACTTAAATTATGAAATAAAAATGAGGGGTCCACATGTTCGTTTAGAAGCAAAAGCACCTTGTTTATACCCATATAAATCCTTATAATAGCACCATGATTGTAGTGATGATTGCTTACTAAATTCACGTTTCCAACGATTGCTTTTTGTTGTACACTGAGAATTTGTCCATATTTATTTTACTCAGAGAAATTTATTACTCAATTCAAAACAACAGCAAAAAATGATAGGTCACCATACTTGTTTGCGAGAAAATGACGATTTACTCCTATGGCGAGGTCCAGCTGTAAAGAAAAAGGGCTGCCATTTTTTAATGCGTGTACGCTAATCATCCGTGAAATTATGCGCAGTAGGGATGCACAATGCAATACTGGGGAATGACCTTAAATAAATTATAAAAACAAACTTGGTGATCGAATGATAAAAATACTATTGAACTTGGTTATCACAAATTGTCAGGATTTATCATGGATAAGTGTCTTGCCACTGACAAATCATGATATTTTGTGGAAGTCCAAGTGCTGTTAGTTATTACATGTGTCTGACATAAAAAGTGCATATCAGACTGGGTCAGAAATTTCAGTTGAAATGCAATTGAACTTTGCTATCTTCAACTGGATTCTCTTCACAATCTCTTAACTCAAATTATTAAACTCTTAAATCAAATTATTTTCTTTTTGATACATGTATACTGTTTTAATGATCATATTCTGTTGGCTTCATGTATCTCACAGGGGTTTCATTAAGAGCCGGGCACTGCGCAAATTGACCAGTTGTGAGGACAATTTTGACTGCTGAATTTATTAATGAAACCCCTGCATACCATCAGGGTTGTAGCTAGTAACAAGGAAACTGAGGCCCTTGCCTCCGTATTTTATCCTTGTTTTTGTTGTTTTTAGTCATCATAAACATCTTCAATACCAACAATTGTAGTTAGAGAATTTAGCTATAGAGAATTAACCATGGGGATTGCCTCAGACCATGATACATTTTGTACATTTAGGCTTTATATAACTTGAGCTACATGTATGATAAAGTTTATTATTTGTTTTTGTAAACCCAGGTTGCATTTGATGTTGATATTGATACAATCAGAGATGATAACAGTCCATTTCCATCATCAATTTCCAAATGTCTACAAGGTATCCAAGAAAGCCTACGTAGGCCGTTTTGGAGAATCTCAGTGTCAACATTTCCATTCCAAAGAAGCGTGATTAAAGCTTGCCAGTTTATACGCAACTTTGCAAGAAAGGTGATCCTGGAACGGCAGGAAGCGGTGTTGCGAGGAGAAAACACTCCTCCTGATATTCTTGCTCATATCTTAAGTGTTGCTGAAAAAGAACCAAGTATTACAGTTGAAGATCTGATAGATGATTTTACCACCTTCTTTGTTGCCGGTACGTATTTTTCATTACTAAAATTTAACTTTTAACTCACTCTGTCAGTATTCTTTGTGTCATGCAGAATGTCCTGAGTTTTCATGTTTGTTACTTACATTTGCATACTCACATTTTCTGCATTTTACCATGTTGAAATAAAGATTATGTACATGTCTGCTGTTCTTAGAAGAGACCACCCTTTCATTTACTTGTACATGTAGCAATCTCCTTCATAGGCCATGTGAGTTTACAAGTTTCACATACAGTCAGCATGTAGTTTCTGCATGTCCCAACATTCAATTCTAAGGGTAGGTACAAGGTCTAAATAGTTTAAAAAAAAAAAAACTAATGCATCTTGATGAATTTAAGTCAAATTTCACAGGTCGTGTTACCTTTATTTTATGGTCTGTTACCTAAGGACAATGTTTAACAGTACATCTTAATGTCACATATACATGTTGGAGGTGTCGTGGCCTAATGGCCAGTGCAGTGCAGTTCAGATTGAGTGGTCTGAGCCGGGGACAATGTGCTGTATGTTGTGTAAGGCAGTTTGCTCTCACAGTAGTGCCTATCTCCACCCACGAGTATAAATGGGTACCAGCAAAATAATTGTTGGGGCAGCCTGACAAATTGTTGGGGAGTAGTTAAGCAATAAACCACAAGTTTTTATGGTTTATAGGCTGATAAACCATGCGGGATGTTGGAGAACACAAGAAGAATTCGTAAATCACAAGCTGCAGGCAAGTGATTTATGAATTCTTCAAGTGTTCTTCCAACATCCCAAGTGGTTTATCATGCCTCTAAACCATAGCAACTTGTGGTCTATTGCTTTTATATAATAATTCAGAAGACACACAAAATTTCCATGAGTTTACTAGCATAATAAACCATAGCTGATTGACCAATCGAGAGCGCGCATTCATTTGATTATTATATAACACATGATAGACTAGCATCCCATCCAGGGGAGAAGCGATATTGTTAGCCACTTTATGCCACAGAAACTGGAGTTAAGCATCAAGAGCTAAAAGGCAGTTGGTCTTAAGAGGCTTCACTTTCAAATTTTACGTGGTCCATCCACACATTTTCAGCTAGACAGTTAGACTGTTCAGAGCAATTCCCCACTGTCTACCCTGTCGAGGCTCCCATTTTGTGCTTGCATCCAGTTCTTTTGTGATTCTATCAATCACATAAAAATATGAGAAAACAGAGTGCTGTGAACAGTCTACTAGTCAGTCAGTCAGCCAGTCAGTCAGCCAGCCAGCCAGCCAGCCAGCCAGTCATTCATTCAGTCAGTCAGTCAGTCATTCATTCAGTCTGTCAGTCTGTCATTCTGTTGGTCTGTCAGTCTGTCGGTCTGTCAGTCTGTCAGTCTGTTGGTCTGTCGGTCTGTCGGTCTGTCAGTCTGTCGGTCCGTCAATCTGTCAGTCTGTCAGTCTGTCAGTCTGTCAGTCAGCCAGTTAGTCTGTTAGTCAGTCAGTCAGTCAGTCAGCCAGCCAGTCAGCCAGTCAGCCAGTCAGTCAGTCAGTCATTCTGTCAGTCAGTCAGTCAGTCAGTCATTCTGTCAGTCAGTCAGTCAGTCAGTCATTCTGTCAGTCAGTCAGTCAGTCAGTCATTCTGTCAGTCAGTCAGTCTGTCAGTGAGTCAGTCATTGATTTCATTTCAGTCATTTATATGACACTGTATTAATGTAACTACTTGTATTTGTGTTTATGGCAGGTCAAGAGACCACATCAAACCAGTTGTCTTTCACCCTTTATGAAATACTGAAACACCCTGATATTGAAAACAGGTATAAAAAATAACCACATCAGTGTATGAATTTTACATTATCCTGTGCAACACCTGTGTACTATTTAAACAGAATGAGCATTTAATGTAGCTTGTACGGCTTTCAATTTGTGTGCAAGGCCTTTTCCATCTGTGGGTCATCGCATCTCTGCATTTTAATGACTGCCAGATGATTGTCTCCTTCACATGGTTTCCCTGTTTAAGGTCATCGCGATTTTGACTTGGGGACCTTCTATTTTTTCAAAGACTTGGGGAGGGGAGGCGTGGTTCTGGTGGGATTTAGGCAGGGTAAGGAATAATTATGCCCTGTGGAGCCAGCAGAAGGCAGAATTTTTCATGAAGAGAGTGGCGTACATATCTGGCTGTATATCTAACTCTTTCAGAATTATTCAAGAAATTGAAGCTGTGCTAGGTTGCCGTCAATTTGCAGAATACATGGACCTAGGAAACCTTCAATTCCTTGGACAGACGCTGAAGGAAAGTTTGAGACTTCACCCTCCAGTATCAGGCACGACACGGATTACCACCAAAGACGAAAACATTGGAGGTCACCTCCTCCCCCGGGGAACCTCTGTAAATATTAGCGCTTTTATAATGCACCGATATTCTGAAGCATGGCAGGAACCAGATAAGTTTGACCCTGATCGATTTTCGCCTGCAGCAAAAGGAGAGATTCCACACTCTGTTTTCTTTCCGTTTTCACTTGGCCCAAGGACCTGTATTGGGCAAACATTTGCTCAGATTGAGGCTCGAGTGTTTATGGCAAGATTGCTGCAGGAGTTTGAATTGAGCCTGTGTCCAGGTCAAGACAAGATGGAACATGAAGAGCGGCTGACTTTGAGGCCTAAAGGGGGTGTATTGTGTACCCTTAGAAGAAGAAATGAAAGCTAGAGAAAGATAAAGGGTTTGAACAAAATATTTTGATAGTGCAGTCAGGGGAACAAAGACCATTTGAGAGGCTTTCTGGAGTAATAATGGTATGAAATACTCGCTGTTGATCACAGTAGTTTGATTGGATAATGAGAACTGAAAACGGTTCAAGCGCTCCAAGAAAGGCTTACCAAAACATGGCTCTTGCTCTCGTAGTCATAGCAAAATATCAACAATTTTTATTTTTTCACAGTACACTTGCACTACTCATTTGTACCGTTCCGCTTTTGATTATGAAGCAGCATTGATAAGGACTGGTAGTTCAGTATGTTTTCTAAATCGGCTGAGTACAAATGCATGTAGTGCAAAGCTGATTTGAATTACAAACTTGGTTACACAGCTTAACTTGAAATTCCCAAGGACTGATTGACCATATTCCGATGAATGATCTAAGACGAGCGAGAGGTGGAAAATAAGACGAATTTCTTGTAGACTAATAAAAGGAATCTAACAATAACTATTGCAATCTTTATTTCTCTCCACAACGGATTAAAAAGACAAAGCAGAAAAACAGCTTCAGAACTGTAATAGTACGCTCGTTGAACCGCTTTGAATTCAAGTATAGAATTGCAACTGCGTAATTAATACGACAGCTGTGATGAGATAAATGGTAATCTTATGCCTCGATTAGTTTTTAAACGGCGCAGATACTAAGAATTGATCGATCAGACTCATAACTTAATTTACGACAAATTAGCTGAAAGACTCAAGTAGAAATATAAAAATGTTCCTATAATTAACATCGAGAACGAAGCAGGGGGGCTACAAGCCCATTTTTATTTTTTTATTATTTTTTTTTTTTATTGGGATAATGTTAAAACAAGGGAAGATGTGAAGAAATAATGGATTTACCGAGAGAAATGGCGGTTCCAAGATGGCGGACGTTTACAGTGCAGTGTATGACGTCATTTATGTTGCTAAGGAAAACCAAAGTGTTGGTGGACATTGCTTGTTAAGTTACGGGGTGGAGGCCTTTACCCCCACCCCTACCCCCCAACCTCCAACCCCCTCTCGGTTTTCTGCTTTCCTCTCCCCAGTTTGATTAGGGTGTACTTTTTTTTTTAATCTGAAGTCCATTTTGAAAGAAATGGCTTTTGAAAAACTAATGTTTTTGAAATATAAAATACGTAGACTAGTTAGGTAAAATTGATTCAATCATTCTCAAGTGGGATTTAAAAAAAAGGGGGCCTTCAATAAGTCTTATTAGTTTTATGAGTGAAGGGTGCTGAATGTTATTTATTTAGTAATATAAAGAGTGTTAATTAAGAAAAAGATGATTAAATAGAACTAGAAAACTACAGTAAAACCTATTTGCTGGAATTTCTTTGCAACTGGAAAGAGCTATTTGGTATCGACAGTTCACATACATCGGGCTCTTTTTCGAAACCAGCTAAAAGGATTTTGTGTGTAACATTTTATTATTGGAGATGCGTTTGTTTTTTGTTTTGTTTTTTAATGTTAATGTAATTTGTTTTGCAGCGGGATTAAGACATTGGTAAAGACATCGTTATTTTCAAACTTCACCGGGTACTTTCATTCCACTCAAGTAAACACAGGCTAAATGACATTCTCTTGTGTTTGAACATCGCGAAACATTTCATTTGTGTTCGAATTCGCGGTTTACAGAACCAGTCAGTCTTTGAAAATACTTTCTGACATTCTGCACCTCTGTTGACTTTTTTCGCCATTAGTAGCACAAACAAGTTGCAGCAAAACACACATTTTGAAATTCATTACCGTGAAAAACTAAGTACGTACGGCAATTAGCTAGAAGGCTTGCGGAACGAAATCTCGTTGGTCCTTGCTTGATCGTAGCTAAGAAGCCGGAGAGAGTAAGTGTATTTTGATTACTGTATTTCCTTTAACTGTGATTAATCGAGCCCAAAACTGCAACATCAGACAAAGTTAAAAAAATCCCAGACATGTCGCATTGCAAGATTGAAAACGCAAATGATTTGAAGTCTGACGATAGAGAAGTATAGTGTAATTCACATTTCGTCCCTGAAAATGGGAAAATAATTTCGTGTTTAACACTGATCTGGAAATACTGCAGGAGGCATTTGATTACTGTATTTAATGGTTTGGAAACAACTTTTTCATTATCTTCAGTCAGTAAGAGGAGCTAGAAAATTGCAGTATTCGTCAACAACAACAACAAAAAAACAATCTTTTTTTACGGAAATGGAGTGCTGAACGGGGCTAATGAACAAAGATCGTATTTAGGAGTGAAATAATAGAATAATAGTCTTGGTATTAAGGAGATAATGAGGATATAGACCTGGTTGTCAGGTAATAATGGAATTATATCCCTGGCTTTAAAACGAAAGCTCAACGCCGTTCAAAAATTGAAACTTGTGAAGGAGTCTCGGATTCTGAATAAATGACTTTTGAAACTACAATGACAACCGTGAACAGAAATTTGAAAGAAGAAAAAATGATATGTCAAGAAGAAAAAAAATGATTAGAGATTTTTTCTGATATCGATGACTCTAAACGATGAAAGAAGAAAGAAATAAAACCATCTGTTTCGCCTTTTTACACAGAACCCTGACGTATCGACATCTTGGCAGTTTAATGATACATTAACTTTGAAACTAGCCCAGGGAAAGGAAACAAAAATCCCAATTAGAATTTCCAGTTGCGTCCGGCGCAATTTACAAAGTCGTTTGTATATTGCTTTGCGACGGACGCTTTTCAATGACGACTCTGCAAACATATCGAAAACTGACGCTTCTAGAATCAGATTAAAAGACTCATAGATAACAACAACAATATTGCAAATTAACAGCATGTCTCTGGGGTTTGCGAAGTCAAATCTTCTAATTTGCTACTACCAAAACAATAAATTGAGTCCGTGTTCGATATATCACTATTCTAACACGGCTCCGAGGCTTTCAGGTGCGCGTAAAACTTCTATATTTGCTGTTTTTTCCTTTGTATCGAAGTCTCTCTTAGGAATTTAGGGACAAACAAACTGCCTAAAAGCTTCCAAACCATCTTAGAATATTGATATATCGATACTTTCGTAAGACTAAATAAATTCCGTTTACTTTCTACTGATACATGCTTAGTATGTATGCAATGATAAATCCTAGATATCACAGAAAATAAACCAGAACGTTTTTCACGTCAATCTAATAAGGCGTTACCACTTAGAGAGCGATTGCGTTAGGCACGTTTCTTCAGGTTAAATACCGTAAAATTCCACATTAACTTTCCCCGGTTATAAGCCACCCGCATATAAGCCCTTCTATTTCCTAAAAAAGATATTATTCCGGATCGATATAAGCCTCCTAGATATAAGTACCCCCGGATATAAGCCCACCTAATGTATATGACTTTATGACTTTCGTTCTGTTCCCTTCCAGTTGTTCAAGTCGCATTAGTGTCTTATAGATGTTATTGAAATAAATTCTCCATTTATTGTGGCGCACAATAAATGTATTGTAAATGTAATAGCTCCAAATGTAATGGTATGTTAGCTTTAATTCGTTTCTCAAATACGTTTTATCTCGTCGTCCCGAAACAATTTTTTTTCTTTCGCTTATATGCCTCCAGGGATAT